ACATCCTTACCAACACGTTATTTTCAGACTTACAATTTTGCCAATCTAGTGGGTGTAAATTCAACCTTAACCATCACCCTCAGAAGAAATTATTATCTGTATTTTACAGGTAAGGCTCAAAATCATGTAACTTGGAAAGTCAGAATTTGAATCCAGTTCTCTGGCCTGCAAATGTTCTTTTCACTGTACCACGATGCCTACCACAATTCTGTCCCCAGTGACTCATGCTTCACATTTTTAAGCACAATTAGTTTTCACACACACAATTATACAACTTAGTATAGTGTTTAATTTAGGGCTTGGCCACTGATTAGTTAAGAAATTTGGGCGAGTATACTGTACCTCAATTATTTTATCTATAAAATGGCTGCTATAATATAATAATAATATCATCTATTTTATGGGACTGTTATTATGGTTAAAGAAGTTATTTCTCCCCTTCTCTCAACTAGATATTTAAGTAAACATGTACTCTAAATAAAAACCATGTCAGGTAGAATTAAGTATATTTTCTTTAACCTAAATGCCCTCTTTCAAGCAGATCGCTTTTTCATTAACTGTCTCATAATTTCATATTCTGAGCTGCCAAATATGTTCCTGTTTCACACACATTTACACTGAAGCATTGAAAGAATCTTTTAGCCCAACAACCGTGGTGACTTGATACCAACACAGTTGGTTTCAACGTTTTTTAAGCATGTATTTTGCACTCTAAGTGATATCAAAATACCTTTAGAGTAGTTAACTTAGTTTGTATATATTCATTTGAGTGGCAATTTAATGTTTTGTCTTCCCCATTAGATTGTTTCTAGTTTTAATCACAATTATATTACCAGCCTTAATACTCAATAAATACTTGTTAATTAAGTGAATCAATGAATAAATTTTTTGGCAGACTATTATGTTTTGCTGAAGTTACATGTCAGTCAAATGCTCTTTTTTAAAAAAATAAAAATCATATCTGAATCATACCTGCATCCTGAAAGTCTGATTTTGGAGTTTAGAATTTTTCAGAATTTAGAATGTTTTTCATTTTTGAAAAGTTAATACTCTATACATATTGTATATCATATGACATCTACAGCAGGGCCTGGGCATGACCCAATAATCAAATACATTAACATTTCTGCACAAAAATGCACAAACAGTCACACAAAAAAGAGTTTTCAGGACCAGAGATAACATCATAGGGGTTCAGATCAAATTGGCTTCTGAAGGAGTTATGGAAATGCTTACTATTTTTAGAGATTTTGGATTATAGAATTGTGGATTAAAATTTCAGAGCTATAATTTTTTAAAGTGTTGAAATTTGAATCCATGTCTCCTTGGTCCCTAATAAATTTTATTCACACTATGGTGCACATTACTCACACTTCTTTCCTGATCTCCAGGAAAAATTCCACTAGTTTATGAAAATTATTTAAATAAACCAGTGATTCTCCAATTACCCTGAAGCCATGGAAATACACAACCTATTCCTAGGAGAGGCATAGCTAAATCTTAACCAATAATAAAAACTACTTCAAAAATTAAAAACTGGCATTCATCATACCAGAGTCTTATAAAGTATTTATTTGTAATTCATTTGGGGTAAGGTTGCTAATACTTCCAAAACATAAATTTTGTTAACATTAGTGTTTTGATCATCTTTTTCTTAAAAGGGATATTCTTTACAGAGAAGCAAGGAAATGTTAAAGTTGATTTTGCAGATTTATAAAAGGTTCACAGCATCTCATGAATACTTAAATACAAAAAAGAAGAATCAGTTACAGGCATTGATTGACTTACGACCTATGCAACTTACGACCATTTGACTTTACAACCACAATCGCAAGCCACGACTGCTCCGCATCTGGCGGCGCAAACGTTGCCCAGCTGGGCATACGACAGTGTGGACCAGCTTCCAGCAGCACTACCATCTCCGCGTGCATATAGCCTACTCAACTTATGACCAAATCGTGTTACGACTGGTCTGTCGGAACCAATCGTGGTCGTAAGTCGAGCACTAGCTGTATTTTCAAGACCATGGAAGGTCTAGGCTCTCAGAGTTTCTCTAACATGGCCCTCAGGCTCAAGCAGGACTAATGTTAGAGAAATCACACCAACAAGGAATTCAAGACCCAATCCTTCAGGAATCTTACAACATGCAAATGTCCCAAGTACATACCACACACACATGAGACTCCTCTCCCTCCCACAGCGTCAACACAAGATACCACTATAGTCAGGGCAATGTCTTTTTGTCACCTTAGGTGTAATATACGACTCAGATGATATCCTTTACCGACTCTTGTGGATTGCACATGTTTAAGTGTGCTAACTCAGAGGTCACATTGCCCAGTGAAAACCATAGCCTAGACATTTGTGTGCTGGATGCTGTAAGAAAGTTATTTAACTTCTCTATGTCTCAGTTTACCCATCTGTAGAATGTGAGTAATAATAGAGTAATTCATGCGGTCCTTGTGGGATTAAATTATACTTAGCATGGGTTTCACTTATGGTAAGGGTCTATTCTTGTAAAGTATTATTATTCCAAAGTCTTAAGCTAATTCTGAGGATCAGGCACTTCCTCAGACATGAGCAATTACCTGAACAGTCAGCAATGGCTTCTGCTAGGACACAATAACACCATAGATGATGCTCATAATAAACCTTCTGACACTTTTCAGTACCTGGTTTCTATAGCTTATATTTTTTATTGCTTAAAACCAAAACAATGGATTACTTCATATTGTGAATTCTTTTTCTGAATAATGCTTACTGAATTATAATAGTATTTATCAGCTATCTGCAGCTTACAGACAGGTTGAATTCCAAAATTGTATTCGTATGTGAGTCACAATTTGAAATACATTTTTTCACAGGGGTAATGTTTTTAAAGAGGTTAAGTGCCCAGGCTGACACAATAAAAGGCAATGAAGTGGGCATTATCCATGCCTAGGCTAGAGGGTCTCATACAAATCAAATAGCTCACATAGGATCAGAATCCACCTGTTAATCTGCCTGGATGCTTCAGTGGGGAGAAGTGAGCAGTTTTTGGTGGCTGAATCTTTACATGTTCTTCATCTAAGAGAGAAAGAAATTGAAAGGCAGAGAAAGGGTTTGGAGGGGCTACAGCTTCCTGTCACCAGCTCAGAGGGGAGGGACATGAGCTACATGGATATTGTCACTATTGAGATCATTAGGAATTTCTGGCCCCGTCCTAACTTTCCTATGTTTGCATTGTCTATCAGTTTTCTCACAGTGATTAGTAGGATGCTCCTTAAAACCAAATACTCTTAAGAAGGAGTATGGAAAGGGGAGTCTATTCTACCCCAAAGCTAACAGAGGACTAGGAATAAGGGGGGAGGGGAGGAGAGAACTCGAAGGCATAAAGGAAGAGGTGTCCATTATAAAGAGGAAATGAAAGCAGGCTGTGTGAATCCTTGTGACCGCCCTGCCACACGTGGTGTTTTGGGAAAAGATACTGATTCCATTGAAGATAAAACTTACTTTCCTGTGTTGGTAATTTAAGAGATGAAAATAAATGCATGGGGTCACTTGAGATTCATCATCAGTAACATTAAGTATCCACATTGGCATAACAAAAGAGTCTTACTTTGGTTTTCAACCTTGGCTGCACATTAGAATCATCTGGGAAGATTAAAAAATTCCAATGCCCAAGGTACACCTCAGACTGATTCCTCCAGAATCCTGAGACCAAGGCACCAGAAGTTTTGAAAGCCTCGGGGGAAATTCCAATGAGCAGCCAGGTTGGAAACCATTGTAAATACCAACCTCTGTCAGGTGTCCTAAACTGAAGAATAAAGTGCTTTGGCCCCCACAGAGCTCTGGGGCACCCTAAACTTAAAGCCTCTCACCTAAATCCATGTTTATAATGAAATTCCTCCTTCCTAAAATATCTGAGAGGAATTTGAGAATAGATTTAATGAAGCTGATTATTCACATTATGATTTCATTTGCTAAGAAAGAAAAAATAACTTCAACAACAGTATTCATTGAAACTGATGGCAAAATACTTCCAACATTTTATGTGCAAACTCTAAGACTGTCCTAGAGATTAATTTGACTCACCGTGTGCCAGGCAATGTGCTGGAGGCTGAGGATAAAATAATCACAAATGTAGACAGAACCTTGCCAAACTGTGGCTTAGAGTCAGTGATGACAGCAAGAGTTGACAGGGGAACCTGCGAGATGCAGGCTGAGCACCTGCCCAGCCGAGGCTACCAATAAGGAAAGAGCTACATATGCAATGTCTGAGTCACCTGTTTGAAATCATTATGTTTTTTGAGTCACAGATATCAATCCCACGAGTCCAATATCACTCAGTGGGTGTGTTAGCATGCCAACAGCTGAATGATACGTACTAATCAAGGTATCGTGTTTGCTGTGGTTCACCAGCTATCCCTTTGATGAGTCTTTCATGCCTAAGAATGTGGGCATGGAGGCGATTTACTGTGTGCCTGACTGCACACAGCTACTTGCTTGCCCCACCCCTAGGATAAGTCTCACTATCACCTGCTGTTTCATTAAATTACTTGGAATTATCTCTCTGTCAATCTGCACTTTTAGGAGAGAGGATTGGTGAATGCTGCCTTTGGAGAAATCCGTCTGTGTGATTAGTGTGTCTGCATCAAATCTCTTGCTTCCCAGTTGCTTTAGGGGCTGAGGAACTGAGTGTCTCACCGTGCTGTAAGTATGTCATCTGTTTCTGTTTTGACAAGGTTACCGTCTCTGGTGTCTACTGGCATAATCCCCAAGCTTCCTGGAACTTGTGTCATTAACCATTAGTGGAGTCTGACTGCAGAAAATGTAGAGCACATTAAGCAGCAAAAATAGCCCTGGTCCTGAAAAAGTCTCTGCATAGAAAACGAGTTGCTCTAAATGATTCTGTTAACATGTCTGATATCCCATGCCTCTCTTCTCCTGCTGGTGGCTGCAGAGGATTCTGGCCACATGAAACATGTGCTCCCCCTTCTTTCGGTCCTCTCCCAACAAAGGGCTCCACAGATGCTTTATGATCATCGGTCCTGAGCTTGCTGGGAGGCACAGATTTCTTCAAAGACATGTTCCTATCTCAAAAAACTGCAGGTGAGAGGAGAAAATATGCAAAAGACAGGTAGCAAGTGAACCAAGCAATTGTCAGGTAAGTCATATTTTTACAGTCTGCTTACAAGCTGCTTACAAGCATTTGCTCATTTAGAGAACAATCTTATAGGCTGAGCATATCCAAACAAAGCGACAAAAGAAACAAAACTCATCAGTACAAAGCGGGTTGTTTTTTTTTTTTTTTTTTTTTTTTTTTTTCTGGTTTCTACAAGCAAACACCCATATCCTGGCTTTAAACTGGTTCTAAGCAATTCAGGAATTTCTGTGCCATAGTTCTTAAAGGAATTGAACTGGTAACTTCACCAGGCCTACAAAACCACTCGTCAAGAACCACTGTATTCCAACTTGTGAAATGAACCCTATAAAGTTAGTGGCATTGGTTTTTGGATATTTGCTCCCAGAACCATGCCTTGCCTTTCCCATGCTCTCCTCCTTATGACAGGGAACTAAAGGCACTGCATTCCTGAGGTGCTTGAGCCCAGGGATAGACTGTGGCAGAGGAAGAGGTCAAGGTGTTGGTTCTCCTCTGTTTCAGGTGACATCTCCTTGGCACCCGTTTGCTACATGGCTTCATGTCTTGCCAAACAGCCCTGTCTGCAGCCCCAGCTCCCATGGGGCAGACCCACAGCAGTTCAGATCCACTGGGTGGTCTCTAATCACATGCTGCTCCAGTGACACCATCTCCTTCCTCTCTTCGTCCTACCAGCCCCAGAGGAAAAAATATATTTCCATAATTGTCTCCAGTTATTTCTGTTGGATTTCTCAACTCTTTCTTTACCCATGAAACTATTTTCTTGTGACAGGTTTCCTGTTTTGAACTACCTAGGGTAGTTCATTTCATTAGCTGATATATGAGTACACTATTAGAACTTAATCATGTTATCTATAATAAATATATATCTACCTAAAATAAGAGAATTGCTGTTACAGACTGAATTGGGTCTCCCTGAAATTTTATATTGAAATCCTAAACCCAGTACCTCAGAATGTGACTGTATTTGGATATAGGGTGTTTAAGATGATAATAAAGGTAAAATGAAGTCACTAGGGTGGGCCTTCATCCACACTAAAGTATCCTTATAAGAAGAAGAAGAGATTAGGACACAGACACACTAAAAGGAAAAATTATGTGAGGACACAGGAGATGACAGCCAACTAAGGAGAAAGGCCTTTTCAGAGAAAAAAAACCAACTGACCTTGGACTTCTATAATCTAGAACTGTGAGGATATCAACTTCTGTTGTTTAAGCCACTCAGCCTGTGGCTCATTAACAGCCAACAAATACAATTGTCCCTGAAATTTGGGATAAACTACTTAACTCTAAGCCTCAATGTCCTCATATGTAAAGTAAGGGTAATTTTAATGCCCAGATTGTTGTGAGAATTAACTGACAGAAGCTTAATATAGCACTTGCTACTGTGCCATAAACATGGGATATCTTTTTTTTCTTTTTAGACAGAGTTTCGCTCTTGTAACCCATGCTGGAGTGCAATGGCACAATCTCAGCTCACTGCAGCCTCCACCTCCTGGGCTCAAGCAATTCTCCTGCCTCAGCCTCACGAGTAGCTGAGATTACAGTGTGCACCACTATGCCCAGCTAATTTTGTATTGTTAGTAGAGATAGGGTTTCACTATATTGGCCAGACTGGTTTCGAACTCCTGACCTCAAGTGATCCACCTGCCTTGGCCTCCCAAAGTGCTAGGATTACAGGCATGAGCCACCGTGCCTAGCCTCATTTTGGATATTAATGTAGATGTATAACTAAAATATGCTTATAAAATGCAGCCTAACTCTCTAGGTATTAGGGAGGTCTTTAGATTGGACTGGCTGGATAATGTATTCACCTAGGTTTTTTGCGTTCTCCTCAGTCATGTCTTGATTTCAGCTGCAGAGTATTTTTGGTTTATTATCAAAGTTGTTTTCTTAAGCTTAAACATCATGCCTCAGCTACAAATTCAATAACTTTTTTTTTTTTGCTCTTGCTACTGCTACTTTAATACTATTTCTTGTTGCTTCTACATAAGTCCATTCAAGGCAGGAATTGCACTGTGACTTTTCTGGAATGCCCATGACTACTCACTGGGTCAGTTTGAGGGCCAGCCAAACAAGGCTTTCCCATTGCTTGCTGCCTGGAAGACTCCCCCAGGACTTAAACGCAGATCCTCCAGATTGTTGCTTACAAATAGTCACATCATGGAAATAAGAATCACCTTCCTGGAATCATCTGCATCTACAGCTGAGCTTAGCCAAACCGCCTGGGCAGCAGCCTATTTGTGTTCCTACAGCCTCCCTCTTCTGACATGTTTTTACTCAGATCCTCCTTCTGTGGTGGTGAACCTGATAAATTGAGGCTCTAGGATTCCTTTCCCACATCAGATGAAGTCCCAGTATGGTACAAAAGGACTAATTGCTACCCTTATTGTGAGGATATTTGTATTTTAAGAAGCCTTTAGCGTTCAGCTAAATGAATAAACTAACAAGTCTAACTTGGAGCACTAAGTGTTAGGAGATTTGAGGCACCTTTAAGTAGAATTATTACTTTTTAATAATGATGAAGAAAATATTAAAGTCCAAAGTAAAAGGATGCTTGGTTTTCTTTGGCTAAAGTTTTGGGAGAATTAGTAAAAAGTAGATGATCCCTTATAAAGAAGTATTTCCATAAAGGCCTTCTTCCTCTAGTAACCAAAGTTCATGTCCTACATATACATATAATATTTATTATCATCAGTTATTAAATGTTCAGTGTTTTCTAAGTGACTGATATTGTATTGTGAACTTTCCAGGGAAAGGAAAGGAAGAAACAAGATGGAATAAAATAAAAACAAAAAGAAGCCTAAAACATTTTGATCTACTTTACATTTTAAAAGCAGAAATGTATCATCTTGGGAATTTTAACCTCCCAATGGTTTGTTGCCATATGGTACTAATTCTGCCCACGGAATGTGAAAAATAAAATAAATGTCAACTCTTGAATTACAATCACTAACATTACAGCTACACAGAATATAATGGTTTTCTCTGTACATCAGAGTTTGTTTTTAAGGTCCAGGTGGTTTCTGCTAAATCTCTAGCCTTTTATTACATAATTTGCCTATTACTTGGAAAGGAAGATATCAGAATATTCTATTTTGTTTTCCCCACTTCTCCATTGGTATTAGACAGGATTCATTCTGTTCCTGGACATCTTGTTATGACTCTTCACAGGGTACCTTATCCAGAATTCCAGGCTGGTTAGAATACTCTGACATTGGATTTCAGACTGTATTCCCTAGCCAGATAATTTTCTTAAAGTAATATTCAAGAATAATAGAGTTTCTATTGCATGGGTTTGCTAAACAAACTTACTTGGTAAAATAATGAGGAAAATAGACATCTACTTATACAGCTCTGGGGAAAAGTACATTCCCAAAGATAATTTCATTTAAAATGTACATTTCAAATATGCATATTGCTAATAAGATGACAACTATCAATAGGTTAGTGTTTTGTGTTACTTTTGACTGGCGTAAGGCCTTACATAGTCAAAGAGCAAGTCTTACCTATGTCACATAAGCCAAAACAAACTATCATTCTTCAGCCATTTCCAGTCCCTCTTCCTCCCCAAGTCCTTCTTTTCCTCCCTTCTCCATTCTGCCAAAAATACAGTTTGATGTATTAGCAACAACTGGGCAATTTTAAAAACAAAATGAAATCAAAGGGAATATTAAATTTCAGAAGGTAACACATTTGCTTAGTTAAGAGGACAAAAGACTTTTTTAAAATGTCCAAAATTGTGGTCTCTCGTATTCATGAAAGCTAACATGTATTTCACAATTCCAATAACTTCTATAAGAACAATAATTGCCCTTTTGCTGATAGGCATGATCATTCATTGCATGGGCATATGAACATGTGGATCTCTTATCATAAAGAATCATTCAGCAATATTAATTATCATATGTTACAAAATAAATCAGACACCAATAAAAATATAACACCATAGACTTATGAGGGGCCAGGAGATATTCTTGGTCTCCTAACATGCCAAACACTGATTTAGCTTCTTGATTTCTAATATTTCATTTAAGTTCCTTAACAGTCCTTGATATATATGCTATTGTCCTTATTTCAAAGATGAGAAAATAAAAACTCAGAAAATCCAAATAAATCAATGCCTGAGTCTGGTCTTTTTGCTTCCTGTCTGGTGGACCATCTCCAATCTGTTCCCTGGCTTGGATACTCTTAGTGGATTCGCTTGACCTTTAGAACAAAGTCTAAACTCATTCCCAAGTTTCTCAAAGTCCTTCATGATCTGGTCCCAATATTATCCTCTCAAACAGCAAACCTTACCACTCCTCACCTCAAGCTTCACTCTCAATCACACTCAATTTCTTTCAGTTGCTTGAATATGCCATGTTTTCTTTTGCCCCTGGGATTGTGCCAACACTGGTCTATACCTAGAACACCCTCAAACACGCCTTTCCCACCCTCCTTAATGATCTGGCTGGCTGGGCGCAGTGGCTCACGCCTATAATCCCAGCACTTTGGGAGGCCGAGGCGGGTGGATCACAAGGTCAAGAGATCGAGACCATCCTGGTCAACATGGTGAAGCCCCGTCTCTACTAAAAATACAAAAATTAGCTGGGCATGGTGGTGCGTGCCTGTAGTCCCAGCTACTCTGGAGGCTGAGGCAGGAGAATTGCTTGAACACCGGAGGCAGAGGTTGCAGTGAGCCGAGATCGCGCCATTGCACTCCAGCCTGGGTAACAAGAGCGGAACTCCGTCTCAAAAAAAAAAAAAAAGTGATCTGGCTAATTCTTTCTGGACCTCCAAATGTGAGCTTAGGTATCTCTTCCTCCAGGAAGCTGCCTCTGAGCCCTGAACACCTATTGGGTGGTCCCCTACAAGATCATCATAGTACACAGGTGATCCTCTGTAGCCCATCATGGTGTCTCACACTGCCTTGTAATTAATTACCTGTTCACTTGTCTATATCCCTCCCTTGACAGGAACGTCTATGAGGGCAGAAACTGAGATGGTCAGGTTCTCATTGTACTCCAGAGCCTAGCTGTATATGGTAGAGAATCGATGTGTATTAAATGGCTGGATGATTAAGAGAATGGCATTTGTACTTAGAAAATTTTATTTTAATGACGATATGAACAAAATTCTATGGCAATTGCTTCTGAAAGCACACCATTTAGAACAGCATCATGGCAGTTTGTTAGGGGATATGCAGAGACATAGGTGCAGTACAGTATGACTTTCTAAACCATCCATGCTACTTGGTAAGCGATATGGTTTTACTCTGTGTCCCCACCCAAATTTCATTTGGATTGTAATCTTCATAATCCCTATGTATGGAGGGAGGAACAAAGTGAGAGGTAATTGATGGGGGTGGTTTTCTCCATGCTGTTCTTGTGATAGTGAGTGAGCTCTCACAAGATCTTGTGATTTTACACAACAGTTTTCCCTGCTCTTGCTTGCTGTCTCTCACCTGCTGCCATGTAAGATGTACCTCTTCCCCTTCTGCCATGATTGAAAGTTTCCTAAGGCCTCCCCAGCCATGTGGAACTAAACTGTGAGTCAATTAAACTTCCTTCCTTTATAAATTGTCCAATCTCAGGTATGTCTTTATATCAGTGTGAGAGCAGACTAATATACTAGGTAATTTTAAATATTAATTTTAAATTAAAAATACAGATACATAGAATAATACAAAATGCATAGGAAGCTTTGTGGTAAAATATAAGACTTCCAAGAAATTTCCCATTTTGAGTTACATCCACAGATATAGAGTGACAATCACTGCTCTCCATGATGGTCAAACCTTAGTTAGAAGGTCACAATCATTTGGAAGCAGGCTTTAAGATGAGCAATGTCAAATTTATAAGCCTCCAAAGGAAACTATGTGCTTTGAGGAATATTTGAAGGTCAATTCTTCTTAATCTAGAGAAGACTGAAGAGAAATATACCATCTGCCTTTACCTGTTCAGCGGCTGTCACCTAGAAGAGGGAACACAGATGCATTCTTAGAAATGCTTCTTTAGAACAGAGATCCAGGACCATTGAGAGGAGTCCAGATTCAGTTCCACATGAAAAAGGACCTCTAAGTTGTCTTTCTATGGAAGGGATATGGGCAATTTTTGTTTTCTTCTTGGTCTCTTCTACATGGCCTAAGTGTTCCACCACAAATTGTACCAAGGCATCAGATGGAATTATTCAAAATGAGTCCTTATAACAATTCATCAGGAGTACTATAAAAGAAATTCCTAGCTGGGTGTGATGGCTCACACCAATAATCCCAACACTGTGGAAGCCCAAGGCAGGAAGATGGCTTGAGCCCAGGAGTTCAAGACCAACTTGGCCAACGTAATGAGATCGCACTTCTAAATAAATAAATACATACATACATAGCCAGATGTGGTAGTATTCATCTGTGGTCCCAGCTAGTACAGAGGCTGAGTTAGAAGGATCGCTTGATCACAGAAGGAGTAAGAGCCATGATCATGTCACTGCACTCCAGCCTGGAATTTATCTTTTCTTCTAGTGTTAAGATTATACAAACTTCCCATTAAAAAATGGAATCTACAGGGTTTCTATTTGTTTAGGTTTACCACAGGTATAAAGCCTTTTTCCTTTTTTCAAATGGGATTATAGAAGTTGTTTTAGATTTGCAATAATCCATAGTTGGTGCAAAATAATTAATGCATTCCCACGGAAAGTGAAATTCTCCCAGGCCCTATTCCATACAAAGCTTTTAAAAGCACTGTACAAATTTATTAATGGGATCACCCTATATCATTCTGTGACTTTTTCTCATAACACTTCATTATGGATATCTTTACATAGCAATACAATAGGTGGTATTTATCCTTATAAACAGTTGCATGATATTCACTGTCTGGATGTGGCATAATGAAAATTTCATCTGTTCTGTATTGATGAATGCTTCCTTTGCAGTGTTGTTTGTGGTTGTAAACATTTAATGACTAGCTTGTTTTATCAAAAGATTTTTCATGAAACAGACTAGGCCTCCATTCTGAGGACTGGTACCCCAGAGCATGCTTTAGCAGTGTACTGGGTAATGCTCAAAGCTGTAGGCACAGTGTGTCATCCAGGACCATCCATTTTACTCAATGATAAATAATTTAAAATATTAATTTTTTAATTTTATTTATTGATGTTTAGTGAATGAGAGGTTCTTATGTTGCCCAGGCTGGCCTCAAATGCATAGCCTCGCCTCCTTAAGCACCAAGACAACTGGCGTGAGACATCACGACCCCCAAATATTAATGTTTTTTATAAAGAACACAATTCAGATCTACTATATGGAAAAATACAAAGTTTATACAGAACTTTGTATTTCTTTATGGCAAAAGAAAAGATTTCAACAGTGTTTTCCATTTTGAGTTAGGGCCCCAGGCCCCCAAAGGTAAGTTGACTGTCTTCTGCCATTGGGGATATTCTAGTGGAAAATTTTGAAAAGGACTTGTTTAGGATATTTGGAACCTTTTGATTGCCTGAGAGGATTCCAGACAAACTAGGAAATAATTATAATAACTAAAATAGATTCTTAAAATAGAAGTCAGACAAGAACTCCCAAAATGGGTTCCTCAAAATTAGCATGAGGATATGAAAAAGAGAATGAGGAAGGCAGAGTGTGTCTCTCCTAGCCGTGCACCTGGATCAAGTCCAGATGCAAAAATTGGTTTGTGTGACAACTTGGAATAATTTTCTATGCTCACAATCTGGGAAGTATAAGGTTATCTTTACTATGGGCTTTTGTGTTTTTTTGTAAAGGAAGTCGCATTTTTGTGAGGTGAATAGATTCTTCAAA